CTCCGCAGCTTTATAGCGAAGGGGACGAATCAAAGGATCGTCCTTGGCATGTGCAAAAAAAAGCACTTTAAGGATACGTTTCCTTCTCCCATCTTTAATCGTTTCTACGCCTGACCGACTAATGGCATGAAAAGCGAAACGTCACTGCAAACTGACATATATGGATTGCATCGAATTATTAAGAAGACCGAAACTTGCCGCACGAGTTTAAATTCCCGAAACCGATACAATTTAATTTTGAATAATATAAAAAAATCGGCAAGACAGTGATATATCGATGAAACGCATTCATTGTTCACACACAGAGAAAATTTTCTCTTCGAATTTACCCTGAAAATCATGATAATCCTGGGACAATATAGTATTTATTTCGATACTATCTAATAAATCGCTTATTTGAAACTAATATTAATATTGATTTAGTGTGAAAAATATGTATTTTATGTAAGAAAATTCTTTTCAAAACAAACAAATTTTATTTGTTTCAAATAAGTAGTTTATTAGGCAGTATTGAAATAAATATTTATTGAGTTAATAATTTTTTCTTCAGTGTAATAGTTTCTCTGATTAATATTTATCACAATAAGGATATTAATATCTATTACAATAAGATGTAAAAATATGTTTAATTTTCTATGTATATATATTAATATTTTTTATTGTATGATAAATATTAATTTTAGAAAAACTCGTAAAATTCTTCCAACACCATATGATCCCACAATTAATATGATATTCAGGGTTCTGAGATAAAATTATCTCCGTGCACTCTTCGAGATATTTAAATTGTAGAGCCAATTGCATTTTTTTAATTTACTTACGCCATATAATTATATTATGCACAAGGCGCAATTAAATATATATTTTCTTTCTCTTCGAAATATAATATATACATATTATAAATTGTAATGAAGTTCATTATAAATTGCAATAAATTTGCCCATACAACAGAGGCGAAAAGATTGATGTGACAGAAGCTGGCAGATAGATTTTAAATAAAATGTTAGGGAAAAAAATATTATGTCAAATTAAATGAAAAACTCATTTTACGCACGCAAATTTGGCGCGGTCTCTTTATATTACGCTGACCCATTTCCGTCAGACTCAAACTGAAACAGTCGAGAGAAACAGTTAAATTGGTAATGGAGGATCCATAACAGGGCCGTGTAATACGATAGGAATTTCGCCATTTGCGAAAGTCAGATCGCGAATTCTCGACATTTAGTCGAGAATTTTCGAATGCACGTAAGCATTCGTCCCGACGTTTCGCGGAACTGAAACTTCTATATGCATCAACTTCTTCGCAACACTTGACGGGCACGCAAGGAATTTCGTTGATGCAGTCACACGTCTATTTTTTTATAATAAATTGCGCCATTACATCGAGCGAGGACTTAATCGAGTTTCGAGCTACTTTCGATTAATTTTATCGAGCGAAAATGCGCGAATTTCGCGCATGTCTCTTGTAGAAGATACTTGTCTTGTCGAGATTACAAGCTCTCGGGTAAATTTGCCTCTCTAATCTCTCCTATCTCAGTTATTTCGTGAGAAAGGATTAGCGTAGTGCAGTTATGTGTCAATTTAAAGACAGCGATTGCAGTTAATCTGCTTAAGGGGGCCTCTATAGAAAACTAAAAATAAGGTGTTTTTTGAGAATTTTTTTGATAAAAATTGCGTAGCGGATCACTCTAAAACTTTTAAGCATTTATTATTAAATATTTATAAATACAAAAAAAATTGTTTCAGTTAAAAATATAGAGGTCGCTCTAAAAATCTTACGAAATTAAAAAACCAAAATTTTTCTTATTATTTATAAAATTATGTCGTCGATGAATCAATAAAATAAGAAAAAAGTATAAAATGGACAATATGGTGGAACTTAGAATTAGAACGAAATAGTAAGATCGACAATGTAATTTCATAATTAATAAGTAAATTTTTAGTTTTTTAATTTTAAAGGAAAATTTGAAGATATTCGACGGCAAAAAAATTCCTTAAAGGCGATCTTCACAATCCATATTTCTAACTAAACAAATTTTTTTATATTTGCAAATTTTTAATAATAGATGCCTAAAAGTTTCAGAATGATTCACTGTAAAGTTTTTCCAAAAAAATCTCGAAAACCAATTTTATTTTTAGGTACTCTAAAGCAGGCGTCCTCTTTAAAAATTTATTTTAAAACTACTATTTAAAAATATTCAAAATTTTATTTTTCGAATTCTAGTGTAAATAAGCAAAATATAATTTCCTTGACAAAATAATTATATTTTAGGTAACAATAATTTGATATAAAATTTTTGATTGCCTTTTATTAAAAAAATCAACAATAGATTGCGTTTTCGATGAGACATTTCGCACTTCTGAAATTCCCATGTTTTCCATTTATTCCTTAGAATGAAAGAACATGACCCAGGAAGGTGCGACCATCATTTTCGATGATATCTTAGCCCTTCAATTAACTCTCACATAGAGAACCTCCAAATCTTGCTCGGTGACCTGAATTCAACGCTCACACGCTCGATTAATTAGTCTCCACGAGTGGCAGTAGTCCTTTCTCTCTCGCGAAGGTATCTGAGACACGAGTGATCAAATCATACTTTGGATTTAAATTTCATATTACATTGCAGAGCGTTTCTATTTTATTTTTCTTGATTTTTTCCTTTTTTTTAAATAATTGTTTTGTTTGAATCTTCAACTTTTCCTATTTGCGTTTTATATATTTCTGAAAATATATGTAAAACAGAGGAGAGAAAAAAGTAGGGAAATTAAATAAATTTTTCACACAATATAAAATTATTTTATATAAATTATACATTTTTCTAAGCACAAGTTTTTCATTCTCTCTCTGTAATCTCATGAAAACGAATTACACGTTTAAATTTCGAATATTTTAATAGCAAAAGGATTTATTACGACGCTTACATAATGCATTTGGCGGTTTAAAACATGATGCTAGATAGTAATATAATCGGGCATAAACGTCGTCATGTTAATATAATAAGGTGAAAATATTCATAATATCCGTAGCCATGCTTTTCAAGAATTTTGATAAATATCTCACACAACAGAAGCCGCGATTGTGTTTTGATTTTATATTACAATCTGAAGATTATCTTTTGTTATTCATTGTCATTTCGTTTTGGCTTATACTATACCTAATATTTAATGCCGTCAATCAAAGTTTATACATTAATAATTATCGGATATTTAAATATAATCTTCTTTAGTCGTAACTTTATGAAAAGAGATCGCCCTAAATTTTTACTACATTGAAAAAAAATTGTTAAATTGTTAACAATTTTGTTAATTAGATATATAAAAATATATAAATTAAATATAACATGTTAAATCGAACAAAACATATATTTGACTTAAGGGAATGCTGCCGTTGTTCTGTTTTACCGACTTTAAGTTAGGTTAGGTTCACTTTTTATTGAATATACAGATTGAAAAATCCTCAAAAATCCCAAGTACGAATCTTTTGATACAGGCTTTTAATCTCACTTTTATTACTGCTGTATTATTCTTTCATATCATCTCTATTGGGAGCGCCATATTTAGTGCACAAATAAACTGCAAAATTTTTGTATTAAATAAGTATTGTTACGAGCTGATGCAAGAGGCCGATAAAAAAACTGTAATTTTTTAACTTTTATTGGTTTTTTATACGAAATTACAGCACTCTTCGTTCATTATTATCAGTACTTTAATTGTGGAGAAGGATTTTTTAATCTGTACAGCCAATAAAAAGAAAAGCCCTCAAACTCAAAGTCGGTAAAACAATCATGATCAACATCTCCTTAAACCAATATGTGTTCAATTAACAAAATAGTAATTTAGTTGAAAGGTTTAGTCAACAATTTTTTGTGGTGTACCAAGAAAAGATTTTAAATTAATTGCAAAATCTATAAATGAAATGATTAGGTTTCAGAGACGTCTTATAAATGAGTGCACTGTATTTGATGTTATTGTTTGGCGTTTATTGCAGTAACGTTCAAATACCGATTCGTAATCCTCTTCAAATCCGTATCAAAATCATTTAACCGAATCTTGCGCTATCTGCAATTGATCCTATCGATGCCTTCAGGGTAGATCAGAACGTCCTTTGTGATATCCAATACTGCAAATTCTCCGCATTGTCTCACGAGAATGAAGGAATATCGAGATAGCACGACTAATTTCTGTGCGCCAGGTACAGATTTTGGCAAACTAAAATAAAACAATTGAACAAATATCTGAGGATATTTATTTTATTCAATTTTATGATAAGAGAAAATACCGAATATATATAATTTTAATATTAATATATTTTTTTATAATTGTTAGACCCAAAATGAACAAAATTAGATTGCTAAATTTAAATATATAATTAAATTTAATTATCTTCTAATTTGGTTTATTTAGAGCCTAACAATTGTAAGAAATACACTATTATACAATATTAAAATTATATATAAATATAGACAGGGTGTCTCTAAATAAGTGAAAAATTTTAGATGATTCTTTGTCGAAAATTAAGGGGAGGAATTAAGTTTTTATTTTTTTTTTCTCTTTACAAATTAAACAAATTAAAAAAATGAAACTTGGTGGATATTTTCCACTAATGAAAAGGATGTTTATTAATATTTTTTGAAATAAAAAATTAATTTTTATCTCTCTCTTTAAAAAAGTGTAACTTCTTAGAGCATATATTTATATAAGAAACCTTTCTTAATTTTCGACAGAGAATCATCTAAAATTTTTCGCGCTTATTTAGATATACCCTGTATATATATTTTTTATATAATATTATATGTCACGCAAATTTTGAGATATATAAGAATATACAAGGTTATTAATCATTAACTATGCACATGCAAAAGTTGCAAAACATTGTATATTTCCTGCAAGACTCGATTTTCCGCCGTTTTATCGGAATTGCATCTCGTGTATCAGGTGTGTCTCTCATTCCGTAATTTAGTAATAAACTTTTTAATAGACACGATCGATTGGTTATGCAGATACCAGGCATTACATCGGGCTGTCGTCGCAAATTAAATAATGCGCTCCCCTGCATTGAAGAAAAGAGCGCAAAGAGTTAAAGCAAAAAAAGAAAGCAAGAGAGAGGCGCGATATAATCGAGAAATATCCCGCTGCCGAAAAAGCGGATGATATAATTACTGGCGAAACGTTCGATCGATTTCTCGGCGGGAAAGTCCGAGGGATCCCGCCAAGTTGTTTCTTCACCGGCGCGGCGGCGAGCCTTGAAGCACCGATCGATCACTCGAAGGATACAGCAACCCTTCGAGACGCGTTTCAGCGCCCTTGGCCCGATTCGCGCCATTAATAAACTCGAAAAAAAAGCAGGCCGAAAATTAAATCCTTGAGAGCGCGATAGTCGAGCTTTGTTCGTTCCGCGGGCGAACAAATCGGGCTTCCCCGACTAATCCGATTGCGAGCGGAGGCCGCGGCTTCCATACTTGAGGAAATTTCAATTAAAGTTGCTCGCCGTGCCAGCCCACGCACGGCACATCAGGATATCCACGTGATATCGCGAAATCAAGAATAGCGCGTCGATCCGGATTTCTCACTTTCGGAGATCAACGCGCACGTGAATCCACGAAGCTATCCCGACGAAAGCGGAGCTCGAGCGCTTTATTGTGAATAAAAGAAAGAACGCAACAATAATATACAATTTGTTTTTCAAGCTTGATGAAACCTCAATGATTTGAGCGAAGGAGCCTGAAGAGGAACCCTTCGTTGACAGCTGTGTCGAGAACCCCGGAAATCGATCCCTCGCTCGAGCGATCGCGATACTTGCGGAACCACCTGCTCCCTCACGTACGCCTAATGTAACCTTCCATTTGTGCGAGGCGACGTGGGAACGTGACATCTCATAGAAACGAGCCCGGGAGAGGAATACGTGCTCTCTCCCGAGTTAGCTGGCCGTAATCTTCGGAACGTGAACTTTGACGTGGAGAATGAAAAGTTTTTCCGCGGAATATTTGCTCGGCGAGAACGCGTTTTGAAAAAGAAGGATAAGTTGGTTTGATCATCTCGTCGCGTGGGGGAAGAAAAACCCCTTTCCAAATATTTCAGATTGTGAGCAATATATATATATAATAATTTCCCTAATTGGGACGCTGAAAAAGCAAGAGCCTACAAAGCGGATGAGCGATATTGGTGAAGAAACATACCGCGTTTCCACTATCTGCACTAGCGGGAACACCGTATTTTTAAAGCCAACGAGATGTGTTTGTTTAGAGTCCAACTCGCGACGAGGCATTTCAAATTGAAATTGCTCGAAAACAACGCGTCACTGTCGCCACAATCGGCTTAATCATCATCGCAGCTTGCCTACGCATATAAAGTGCAAATTACCGCGGCTTAAAAACACCCTTATGACAAATGTCTCTCGGAGGAAAGAGTGGGTTCTGAAAAAAGGGAAATAAAATAACAGCAAAGGTTCAAAAGAACCAACTACGCAGTGGAAATTTAATCGATGCACGGCAAAAAGGGAACGATAGTACACGAATAGCTCGAGTCGAGTAGCGACATATACCTCGGCTTCTATGTTTTTCGCGGCGGCAGGTTGTAAACAAATTTACGACCGGGAAGCACACTCCATCAAAATTATACGGCGCGTCGAGAGGAGAAAGAGAGAATAGGGAATTAAAAATAAATAATAAAAAAAAGAAAGAGGGACAGTTGTCGGGTGCCGGCTGTCGCGATCTCTCTCCGAATCGGTGCCCAACTAAGCCAGAGAGTGGAAGCGCCAGAGGAGGAGCGCAAGAGCGGCCTCGTCCGCGGTCTCGTACGGCGATTGAGCAGCGGAGGCGCCGGCCGATCGGGTCGCCAAGCCGACGGCGACAAGACGAGTCCCGGCGGCGATTGCACCCTCGTCGTAGGAGGACCTGGGGGAGCATCACCCGGGCAGCAGCAGGATCAATTGGTACCAGTGGGGACCGGAAGCGGAAGCACGGTGTCCGCGTCCGCGGGTACCCCGAGCCGACGGGCGAGCCGCGATCTAAGCCCCTCGAAGAGGTCGCAGGATGCTGCCGCGGTGGCCAGCCACGGGGGCGGAGGTGGTGCCGGTACCGCGTCGTCGTCGTCGTCGTCGTCCGGCGGCACCGGACAGGATTGGAGAAAGCTAGTGGGCAGCATAAGGCGCAAGGTGCGCCGGAAGACGGGACAGAACAGCTCCAGCATATCCGAGGCCGCTCTCCAGGAAACGACCAATCGCAATCAGGATGATTTTCTCAAGGCCGCGATGAGGATCTTCCTGGTGGTCTCGCCGCCGATGACGCGTGTTCAGGTAAACTCGCACGTTAACTGCACAGTAGAAACATTTGTGTTCTCTTGCTCAAAACGGTACCCGTTAACATTTTTTTTCTAAATATTTTTTAACACATTCATGTGTTTGTTTAACATATTAATTAATAGTTATATAATATTATTTAACTATTTATATTATAATAATTATATAATATATATATAATAAATTATACATATAATAATTATATATATATATATATATATATATATATATATATATATTATATATTATAATAATTTAATAGTTTATAGTTTAATTGATTTATCATATAGATATATGCAAATTATATATTTGGAAAAAATAATACTAAAAAGTCAGGGAGAAAATGAATTTCTGGTCTTGGAAAATCTGAAAAAGTCAGGAAATTTTGTTAATTGAGTCTGCTGGACATCCTGTTTTAGTATTTTTTTAATATCTTTTTCCAGCCTTTGATTATTTTTGTGAAGAGCCAATACGAGAAAAAGTGGCTTTCTTTATAATCAATATTCGCGTATAAAAAAATAAAATATATAATATATTTTAGGATAAAAAAGAAAAGCTGATTTTTTATTATATTTCTTAAAGAAGCGAATAGTTAATGTTTATTTATACCTCTGGTTAATTGTAATAAAAATCTTTGTTTTTTTCGCGCGCATTTTGATTTTTTATTTCACATATTACACTGTTCAACAAAAAATGACTTCTCATCTGGAATTTTGAAACCAGATTCAGCATTCAAAAAACTACTAGTGTTTCAGAACTGGCGAAAAAATTTTTATAAACACATTCCTGGGATTATTTGAAAATGATTTTTCCTGAGTGAAAATGTCGATGTACCAATAATTTTTGAATTATAAGTTATTAAAAATAAAAGCATTCTTGTAAACTAAGCCTTGTGTAAATAAAATATTAAAACCACATTTTTCAATTAATTTTAGATAGAGTTTACTTAATAAAATTTTAATTTAAGATTTAGTTACAATGATGGCAAAAATTGGGAGCATACAAAAAATAATGACCTTCCTCGATATTTTCGCTGAGGAAAAATCGTCTCTAAATAATCCTAAAATTCTTTATATATAATTAATTTCTTTTAAATTAAAATGAAAAGGATTTCACAATTCGTGGTACTCATAATGAAAGAATTGATATATATTATAATAATGTATATATAGATGAAGCTTTTCTCCTTTGAGAGATAAACTACAACGTTGCAATCTATATTCGCATAGTACTTTTTCTTAAGCAGATTGACCAAACCGAACAAAACATTTGACGAAAAAGAAACATTTGATATTACGAAAGGAAACAAGAAGATACTTGAAAGTTCCGCGTAACTCGAATGCAATCGCACGATCTATTTTATCGGACTTGATGAAAGAGACTGATAATTGCCTTACGGATTTAAGACCTAGATACGATTTGCTCTTTCAAAGGACACTCCGGATTTATATGATAAAATGAGAGATATTTCCTTTGTCATATTCTATTTAAAGTATAACAAGGAATGTATTATTATATTTATCTTCTCAACGATCGCAGTAATTTATCTTAAATCTCAGTTTTATGTACGTTAATTTTATATATACATATATATATATGTATATTACTCTATCGTTACACACTCATATTTCTTTAATCTTTATTAAAAAAATATGCACTTATTTATACTGAATTATATGAACAAGAGATGAATATCTCTCTTGCATGTTTTTTTATAATTAAATCAAATTAGATTCTTATTAATTATACATTTATAACGCTATGTTATGCAAGCATGACACGCCATTAGTTTTAACTCCGATATATGTATAATTTAAAAGTCACCGTGCGGAGCACACATGTGTGTCTCTGATAAATCACAATATAATTAATCCTTTAACACCCCGCAACACGAGTACCGATATCCATTATAGTCGTTCTCGCGATTAAATCGATCGAGAAATGCATTATTCGTCGACGAGCTGTCCAAAACGATGACACTTTATCGTTGATGAAATACAAAATGAATTTTCTTCAACAAAAAATACCGAACAATGTTTCGATTGCTACTAGATTTCGATTGTCACTAGACCAGATTTCGATTGTCACTAGATTTTTTATTATCACTAGATTTCGATTGTCACTAGACCGGATTTTCGCGTTCCTGATCGAAGAGCACGTTTGGGGAGGAGATGCGAAAATTTGAAAAATTTACATGCAGAAAATTAATCAATTTTTCGATTGCTACTAGATTTCGATTGTCACTAGACCTGATTTCGATTGTCACTAAACCGGATTTTCGCGTTCCTGATCGAAGAGCACGTTTGGGGAGGAGATGCGAAAATATGAGAAATTTACATGCAGAAAATTAATCAATTTTTCGATTGCTACTAGATTTCGATTGTCACTAGACCAGATTTCGATTGTCACTAGACCGGATTTTTGCGTTCCTGATCGAAGAGCACGTTTGGGGAGGAGATGCGAAAATATGAGAAATTTACATGCAGAAAATTAATCAATTTTTCGATTGCTACTAGATTTCGATTGTCACTAGACCTGATTTCGATTGTCACTAGACCGGATTTTCGCGTTCCTGATCGAAGAGCACGTTTGGGGAGGAGATGCGAAAATATGAGAAATTTACATGCAGAAAATTAATCAATTTTTCGATTGCTACTAGATTTCGATTGTCACTAGACCAGATTTCGATTGTCACTAGACCGGATTTTCGCGTTCATGATCGAAGAGCACGTTTGGGGAGGAGATGCGAAAATATGAGAAATTTACATGCAGAAAATTAATCAATTTTGCATTAGACAACTTGCGCGCTTCCTATCTCAGACGCTTCCTCTCTCAGGTACAAGTTGCCGAGTCAGATTACGGAAATTCCGCCGTAATGTACCGAGAGAGGATGATGCGTTATCTCGTTCGCCGCTCCGCACATTTGCTTCCGCCAGAATTTATCAATGAAATCATGCCTGAATACGCTCGAGTCGCATCGATCGTCCCGGTTAAACAACACCGTGATTTGTAATCTACGTTTCGCTTCGGCTACTCGATTTATTTTTTTTTTCTCTTTTTTTTTATCAAATGCGGATGGATCCGCATACACAGTCACGTCGAGCGCGATATAACTAATCGATTATCGCGCTGTTTGCACCGCGACCTTTCGTCTAATGTAACAGCTGTATTCGATGACCCGCTCTCCTCGGCTTTGTGGATGTTTGCACGCGATCGTATCATCGCGTAGCTAGTAGAGGTCGATCAAAAGATATAACAATTAATCATAATTCTTATCCGCTTGAGGAATATTTTAATATATTTGTAACGTTGCATATATAGATAACGATTATTCGTCGGAATATAACATCGCGATGCTCGAATGAAAAATTCCAATGAAAAATTAATTTCGATAAAATTTTCCTGACATTTTTTTATATGCAAATTTGAAATTATATTAAGCAAAAATTATATATTGTCGCGCGTGTGTCGCAACGTATTTATCGAGTGCATATTATTTGAATTTATAGCTCTCGATAATTTTTAGAGATAAGAAATAAAACGATAAACCTTTCTTCGAAATAAAAGTAAAAAATAAAAATACACGCGTTGTTGTTTATACAACGATATTGATATGCCGAATGATTTGTGTAGTTGATACACACTGGGAGACACAAGGTTGCTTCGCGTAAGTAAAACACGTATTGGTAAAAAAATCCTGTCTATAATCCTTACGCTTGTTACGTTACTACTTTAACGAGAACCTCTTATAAAATCAAACATTGCACTGCGTTGTCTTTGCGAACGAGAAGTCATTGTTGCTCGTTATTTTTCCAGGCAAGTAGGCTATCCAGAGAAATTGCATGAAAAGTATTATTCGCACATTGCGTCTTTAATTCTCGATTGCAGCGATAAAATTTTGATAACACACCTATTATTATTATAATTCAGTTTGATTTCCATCAGCAAATTTTTTTGGTGGACGTATAATTTTACACTGAAAAAAATTATTAAATTAATAAATACTTATTTTAATATTACCTAATAAATAATTTTTTTTTAAGCAACTAAATATTTATCTGTGTTTTGAAAATTATTTTCTTATATCAAATAAATATTTTTTACATCAAATCAATATTATTAGTTTCAAATAAATTATTTATCGAGCAGTATTGAAATAAATATTTATTCAAATTTAATAATTTTTATTCAGTATAATCATTTAATTCTGAGTTAACATTTTTTAAACAATGCATGAAAAGTATTATTCGCACATTATCTTTAATTTTCAATTGCAGTGATAAATTTTTGATAACGTACTTATTATTCAATTATTCAATTTAATTTCCATAAGCAAATTTTTTCAAGGTGTGTACATATATAATTCTATACTGAAAAAAAATTATTAAATTAATAAATATTTATTTCAATACCTAATAAATCATTTATTTGAAACAAATAAATATTTTTCACATCAAATCATTATTATTAGTTTCAAATAAATTATTTATCAGGCAGTATTGAAATAAATATTTATTCGAATTTAATAATTTTTTTTTAGTATAATCATTCAATTCCGAGTTAACATTTTTTAAACAATGCATGAAAAGCATCATTCGCACATTATCTTTAATTTTCAATTGCAGCGATCAATTTTTGATAACGTACTTATTATTCAAATATTCAATTTGATTTCCATAAGCAAATTTTTTCGATATGTGGACATATAATTCTATACTGAAAAATAATTATGAAATTAATAAATACTTATTTCAATACCTAATAAATCATTTATTTGAAACAAATACATTTTTTTTCACATCAAATCAATATTATTAATAAATATTTATTCGAATGTAATAATCTTTCTTTAGTGTAATTCCGAGCAAACTTGTTTTAAACCACTAAACTTTGTAAACTAATTTTTCTTTTTTTTTATCAACGTGTCATTTTACGAACACACTTTTGAACGCTATTGACAGTGACATTGCGGGCCAAAGGTATCTCTTTGGCCTGAC